ATGGTAAAAACCCATCCTAGTTACATTCAAATCTTCTTTTCTCTTCATGGCTAATAAGAGTAAGCCCCGGACAACTCAAGCTCCATTTGCAATGCATGCTAGATATACCTCATTTTCCCTGCAGCCTTTTCTCATGTCTTAGGAAGGCACATTGCTCTGGACTCAAGCTTTGTCTCCCATTTTGGGTCAAGATTCTATCCACTGGACTTGAAGATTTATCTTTGTTTCTTCAGGTTATCTCTTGGTTTACTCCATGATCTTTGGCTGATAATTACCATCTGCCTTTTTCTTCTATTCATCTGAAATCCTGAGGGGAGGCGGGAGGGCCTAAGGAAATATTTAAAAATAATAACACATTAACTTGAGCTTGACTTGGATCTCAATACCAGTGGCGGAGATGCTACTGTTTACGCCTACTCTGATCTTGAGCTACTCTAAGCCACTCTATTCTCCAGGGTGAGGACCATCCCACTGAAAGGGAACCTCAAAAACGATAAACTTTAATGCTGTGAAAATCCTCAGCAAACTATTCCTCAAGTACAGTCTTAGTGTTCACAAGAGTGAACCCAAATGAAAGAGAATTTGGGCTCCATCTTCAGCAAATCCCAGTCATTGACAATAATTTCTCAAAATACAAACTGTAAATATAGTTGCCATTAAATTGTTATTTAGCTCTTCTGGTTCTGCTTATATTAGCTAATGTATAAATGTGGGTAATTCAGAAAACACAAGGTGTTCATTCTCTTTTCACTCATCTTCTATAAAATACTTGGTATGGCTCCATAGTTGTCCCACATTAAATAATTTCTGTCTTTCTTTCTCCTACACTGCATAGGCTTAGAATGAGTCCTGATTTCTTTCAGGGGCTTTTAATTTTACTTTTCCAAACCATATATCTCACCCAGAACTGTATATTCCTTATCTTCTTGTATCCTCAAGCTAATAGTATGAAGTAATTATTATAATTCCTACTTTAAGAGCAGTTAGGTGATTTGTCTGAGGTCACACAACTGGCAAATGGTCAAAGCAGTATTTGAACCATGATCCTTCCAACATCAGGGTCTCTGTTTTTTTCATTATACTATTTTAATTTTTATGAGAAGGGAAATTCTGCCTTAAAAAAAAAGTCACAATAAGAAATTATATATAAACCATAAAAAGACATGGAGGCACTTTAAATGCCTATTGCTAAGTGAAAGAAGCCCGTCAGAAATGGATACACACTGTATGAGTCCAATTACACGACATTCTATAAGATAATGTAGACAGTTAAAAAAGCAGTGGTTGCACATGATCTCACTCATTTGTGGATATAATAAACAACATAAACTGATGAACAAAAATAGATCCAGAAACACAAAAGCATCTAACAGACTGTCAAACCTCAGAGGGAAGGTGGGGGCAGGGGTGGTAAGAGATCAACCAAAGGACTTGTATGCATGCATATACACATAATCAATGAACAAAGATAGTAGCGGGGTGAGGTCATGTTCTGGGAGGTGGGAGTGGCCAGGGAGAGGTCAATGGGACAAAAGGGAGACATGTAATACTTTAAACAATAAATAATTTAAATTAAAAAAAAACATCAGTGGTTGCTAGAGACTAGGGGAGAGGCAGAGATAAGAAGGCAGAGCACAGAGGATTTCTAGGGCAATAAAACTGTTCTGTATGATACATATCATTATACATTTGTCAAAACCCATCCTAATATATAAAAATTCAGGGTCAATAATGTCCAAAATGACTGAAGGCTCAACCTAGCAGAAGTAAGTCCTGCAGTCAGTGCTGGGTTGACGGGGCGACGCAGCACTGACTGCTGAGGGGGTTGCAGATCAGGCCCGGAAAGAGGCCTGGAGAGAGAAGCAGGGTCTGATCCGTAGCCTCCATGGCAGCTGTTGATCAGCCCTTGCCTCTTTCTTTCTCTCTGGGCCCAGCCAGCAGCTGCACCTCTCTTTCTCTCCAGACCTCCCTGGAGACTGCTGATTAGCCTGGCCTCTCTGATCAGGCCCAGAGATAGGCCTATGACTGGCATAGAAACCAACCAATCAGAACCAAATCTGGGTGAAGTGTGAGGAGCCAATGGCTGCCTAGGAGGTGGAGCTTTTGACACTGACTGGCATAGAAACTGACCAATCAGAACCTAATCTGGGTGAACTGGGAAGGCAGAACCTAAGGTGGGGGCTGAGGAGGGGTTTTAAGGGCAACAGCTGTTTGGTGTAAGGTGTAAGAAAGCAGTTCAATTTTTTAATGACTGGTTTGGCAATATAGTTCATATGGCCAGCTATCAGTTCAGATATAGGGATTAGGTATTTTTGTCTGCCAAGAGCATCTCCTCCTGATGAAAAAGGCTTTTCCCCCATTTAAGCAACCCTATCCTACATAACCTATCTATACTAATAAAAGGGTAATATGCTAATTAGACCAGGTCGACCAGCCATCTTCGAGACATCCAACTTCCTTCCAGACAAAGCCATGTTGGTGGGGGCTGAGGCAGAGGCAGTTAGCGGCAATCAGGCCAGCAGGGAAGGGCAGTGGGGGTGAGATCAGGCCAGCAGAAGAGGGCAGGTAGGGCAATCAGGCAGGCAGAGGCAGTTAAGGGCAATCAGGCCATCCGGGGAGAGCATTGGGGGCAAGATCAGGTCGGCAGGGGAGGGCAGTTGGGGGCGAGATCAGGCCAGCAGGGGGAGGGCCGTTGGGGGAAAGATCAGGCTGGCAGGGGAGGGCAATTAGTGGCAACCAGGCCAGCAGGGTAGGACAGTTGGGGGCAACCAGGTTGGCAGGGGAGGGTAGTTGGTGGCAAGATCAGGCAGGCAGGGGAGGGAAGTTAGGGGTGATCAGGCCAGCAGGGGAGAGCAGTTGTGGGCAAGATCAGGCTGGAAGGGGAGGGCAGTTAGGGGCAATCAGGAAGGCAAGCAGAGGCAGTTAGGGCCAATCATGCAGGCAGGCAGGTGAGCGGTTAGGAGCCAGCAGTCCCAAATTGTGAGAGGGATGTCTGATTGCTGCCAGTCAGACATCCCCTAAGGGGTCCCCAATTGGAGAGGGTGCAGGCTGGGCTGAGGGACCCCCCCCATGCACAAATTTCGTGCACCGGGCCACTAGTAGATTATAAAACACCAGGAGTGAACCCCAGTGTAAACTCTGGACTCTGGATGGCAATGATGGGTCAATGTAGCTTCATCAGTTGTAACAAAAGTTCCACTCTGGGGGAGGTTGATAGGGAGGTTGTACATCTGTGGGGACAGGAGGTATATATGAACTCTGTACTCTCTGCTCAATTTTGCTGTAAACCTAAAACTGCTCAAAAAAGTAAAATCTAATTTCAAAAAATATTTCCCCACTAAACAGACAAATAGAAATCATAGATTTTATGTTACTTCACGCCTTGCTCCACTTTCTACCCGTAACACTTAAGACATTATAAAGAGAACAAAAATTAGTTAAAACCAAGCCAATAGAATAAGATACTAGAAGTATGAATATCCGAGGGCATCCTAATTCAGCCTGTATTTCCCTTTCTTTCTCCTTCCTATCATCTATCTGCTCATCCTTTTGGTTGTTTTCATTTTATTCCCACCACACAACTTCTACAGCCAGGAATGGAAAAAGAGAAAACAAGAGCAAACATTTTCACAATAATCTTAGTTTTTATGGTTCCAGTTACCATTGCTGCCAAGACGCAGTGTGTAAAACAATCGTTTATTATGCTCATGGATTCCATGGGTTAAGAATTCAGACAGAGCACACGGAGGATGGCTTGTCTCAGGTCTGTAATGTGAGGGATCTTAGCTGGGAAAACTCCAACACTGGGCTGACTCAACAGCTGGGGGCTGCAATCATTTGGAGGCCATTTTTCCTCACATGTCTGGGTGTTAATACTGGCTGGGACCTCAGCTAGCTTCACAGCCAAAATACATATCCCTGGATTCTCCATCAGTCTCTCTGTGTGGGCTAGTTTGGATTTCCTAGTTTGGACATGGTGACCATGTTCTAAGAGAGAGCATCCCAAAAGAGCAAGAATGACGTGTATGACATTTTTATGATCTTGCCTTGGGAGTCACATTAGTGTCACTCGTAGCATACTCTATTGGTCAAAGCAGCCACAAAGGTCTACCCAGCTTCCAGAGGGAGGGGCATAACCCCAAACCCCTGGATGGGAGGTGTGTCAAGATCACATTGTAAGTACATATGGAATAGGAGGTATTGGTTTTGGCATTTTGGAAAATATAATCTACTGCAATAACTCTTGTTATATTTTATTATACCTTAAATATCTAGGTATTGTTGCATTTGAATGTTTGGTTAGACATTGCTCCTCATCTTTATTTGTGATTATCTGTTTCAGATTATAAACCACATGATGGCAGGGACAGCCATGTTAAGTTCATTTTCATGAGCTCCAACATAGAGCCTTATACTTGACAACCATAGTATACAGCATTATGATGCAATTGCTGATAGATACATGCACTTGAGCCATCATTATTTTTTACATGTGTAATGTGTTGCAGCTAATCTCTATAAAAAGGCATATAGCATCTTTACAATTTTGTATTGATGAGAGAGAGAGAGAGAAGAGAGATTTGATGTTCCACTTACTTATGCATTCATTGGTTGCTTCTTCTTTGTGCCCTGACCGGAGATCGAACCCAAAACCTTGGTGTATCAGGATAATGCTCTAACCAATGGGATACACAGCCACAGCACCTATAGCATGTTTAAAATGCAAGTGAGTCTTGTTACAAAAATTAGATCTTGGTAGCTTGAGAGGAGTACCTAGTTCTTCCAAGTGAATAGATTCTTGTAAAGCAATAATAGAATCTCACAGGTGAGTGGGGAACCACTTCCTTGAGGAAACTATCTTTTTTTTTCCTTCTGCGATTAGTCACTTTCTATTTAATAGATTATTAAAAGGTGTATTTGAGGAATCGGTGTAAGACCTTGATCATGGATTTTGATCTCTTCTGAAAAGTTAATTAATGAAGGCAATTGTCCCTTTTCAGTTGATTTCATAGGTGGCTTTGATTCTTATGGCTATCAAGGGCCTCAGAAGACATCTCATTTACAACTGCAGCCTATGTACATGTAAGTACTTTACTTGGGTGGTTTTCATATGGGGTACCACAAGATGGTGAAGGAAATTTCTGTGGCACAAAATAGATGGCATGCAACTTTCCTTCAGTTATATACTTTAGCATTTCTCTCCTATTCATATCGTTTTGACTGGGATAACTCTGATTCCATTTTCTTCATAATTATTTTAAAATTTAACTTAGAAATGCCACATCTAAAGTTACCTTAAGTCTTATATAAGTATCAACTACATGGCTAAAAAAAAACAAACCTCTAATTGTATACTAATTTTTGAATTACCCAAAAGTTGCATATACTTAAAATCATATAACATTGTAGGTGGTTATATGTGACTATATATAAACCATATGTTTTGGTTTTCCCAGGAGAGTCTAGATTTACACAGGTTGTCCTGGTATAATTATTACCAGCACCCCCAGTTAGATAATAAGTGTTATTGTCACTCAAGTTAGATACAGTGTTTAAAAAAAATCAAAAACTGAGCAATACTTTATCATTTTTGTGATTTGAAAAGTGAAAATGAAGCCAAACTATTAACACTGAAACCTATCAGACCCTTAACTCTAGCACCCCAGAGAGCAGATATACGATCAGAGCCTGATTTTTATATCTGTGTTTAGGCAAATTCCCTTGGATAACAACTGATAACAAATTCTATATATCAGCATCAAGTGATATGCTGAATTGCAAGCGAAGATCAAAATAGAAAGTAAGATTCCAATTCATTTTGAAATGTGAGCTTCTCTCTTTGAAGATATGTGTTTGTTGTCATTGTCCTCCACCATTGAATCATTTTTCCTTTTAATATTGTTAGTTTGTAGGATAACAAGTGTGTTTTTGGAGTATTTCTCTGGAGAAATTAATCTTTATGCGTACCTTTTCAGCTTCTTTTTAAAAGGGGAATGATCTATGCAGCATGCCTCCATTTTTCTTTGTGTCCCTTGTAGTTGTTCCCTGGAAGATCTGGTAACTGATAGAAAAGCCTCTATCAATTCAAATATCAGGCAATACTATGTGTCATTCAAATCATTTCTTCTGTAAACAGTACTTCACATATCTCCACTTTTATATCTCCACAACACTGTCTCAATTCTAGCATTTATGGCCTTAAGTTTTCCATTCTTGTTCTTTTTTTAGAACCCCTATCCCATCATTCTTGTGGCCTCTAAATTGACCTTCCTAAAGGACCACTCTGATCATTTCACTCCCCAGTCCACAAACTATCAATGACTTCCTGTTACATACCGAGCAAAGTCCAAGCTCCTAATCAAAACCTGGAAATCTACTCAGATCTGGAAGGTTTTGTTGAAACATATCTCTTCTCCTCAACCCTTAATAACTTTTAAGTCCCAATCATATGCAGATGATGCTTGAAGATGCTAGGAAAATGTAATGATGAATAAGAATTGACCCCTATCCTCTTGAAGCTTATAATCTACTAGAGACCTGGTGCATGCAATTCGTGCACAGCGGGTGGGTGGGGGCATGTCTCAGCCCAGCCTGCACCCTCTCAAATCTGGGTGCAAATGCAGCCCTTCTGAAAAGAATCCCCCAGTGGGATTGGGCCTAAACGGGCAGTCAGACATCCCTCTCACAATCCAGGACTGCTGGCTTCCAAACACCTGCCTGCCTGCCTGCCTGCCTGATTGCCCCTAACTGCTTCTGCCTGCCAACCTGATCATCCCCTAACCACTCCCCTGCCAGCCTGATCAATGCCTAACCGCTCCCTTGATGGCCCAATTGCCCCCAACTGCCCTCCCCTGCAGGCCTGGTCGCCCCCAACTGCCCTCCCTTGCCAGCTCAGTCACCCCTAACTGCCCTCCCCTGCCGGCCTGGTCCCCCCCAACTGCCCTCCCCTGCAGGCCTGGTTGCCCCTAACTGCCCTCCCTTTCAGGTCGGTCCCTTCCAACTGCCCTCTCCTCCTGGCCATCTTTGACCACATGGGGGCAGCCATCTTGTGTGTTGAAGTGATGGTCAATTTGCATATTACTCTTTTCTTAGATAGGATTATTAGTAGGAATAATGCTTATGCTAACCAGTATTACTCATGGAAAGACTTTATCAAATCACAAATCAATATACACTGTATTTCATTCCCAAAGGATTTCCTCTGTAAACACTATATGTCATATAACACCAGGCCAAGTAACATGTAGCAATATGTTTGTGCTCAACAGTAAACCAGGGCATCTACAAGGCTTGCAATTGCTTGCTCTGACAATAGCACATAACATTTTTATCACACAGCATTTCATTGTGCTGGTTAATAGGAATGATCAATAAATGTGATCAAGCTACAATAAATTAGATATAACCACTTATGTAAGGATCAGCTATAATAATAACATAAGAATGCTAATTATACATAATCAAGTATATCAGTTCAAATCAAGCATTTATAATTCTAATGTCTTTAATGAGGGGACTCTGCAAATTTTTTATCCAGCATTAAATTCCTTGAAGACAAAACTTCTTGTGATTTTATTAAATAGAACACTTTAAATACTAAACCAAAAATAGTAAAAGTAATGCTTTCTTCTTTACTTCCAGGGAATAGTAAAAATTATATAAGAGCTTTCAAGTCTCACTGCCCATGAAATAAGTTAAATGTTCAATGGCATTCAAATTTAGGAAGTTAGAAATATTTAAAATATGTAACAACATATAATAACAAAATATGACCACTATCCCTTCCACAGAACTTCCCCTCATCACTTAGTATTTGAGTGGCCTCAAATACTAAGATTTTTTTTACAGATGAGGGAACTGAGTCAAGTGGAAGGAAAACAAGGTCACACAACGTGTCAGGTGTGCAGCTCCAATTCGCAACCAGCTTTCCGGCCTCTTAGTTCGGTCTTCTTTCCAAATTTATAGAGAGACCATGAGTCTGCTCTGGCGTTACATTCCCTGATTCTTAATTGACCTATTTCTCCTGCTTCACACTAACTTAGCTGCCATGCTTCCATTCATGCATTCATGCCTGCGCCCCTGCCCTCTTTCTGTGTATCTTTGATCTCCTTTTAATTTCACATTAGGCAGTGTTGAATAAAGAAGAGCTTTTTCAACTGTGTGGACCTCAAAACTCAATCCCCGGAGAGCCACCGTCTACTCAAATCCTATGACAGGGCGAAACCCATTCACACATAAGCCTCACCCCCTGCTGAGCAGCACAGGCCCAAGCATCTCCTATAACTTTATCCTCCGGGGTACCTTCTCCCGTCAACCGGCCACAAATAAGTCTCGTAAAGTAAGAGTGATTTAACATCATGGGCCTGTCAAGCACCCTAACAATCTTGTATAGCAACAGAAGTAAGAGGTGTTCCTTAGGAAAGGAAATGCTTAAAAGCAATGTGCCATTTTAGCTGTGGGGCTCCCATGGTCCCCGGCAAATCTTCTGTTTCCGAGGCAGAGCTTTGAAAACACTGCCCACCTGCCTTCCATCACAGCCGTGTACCCCTCCCTGTAGCCCAGGAATAGGCAGTCCTTTTTTTTTATTTGGTATTTTTAGTAGATGTTCTTGGCCTATAAATCTTCAGATTATATATCTATAATCCACCTAACAAGGAAAGGTTATCATTATTTTGTTTTTATAGTTGGTAAACCTCTTTGGAACCAGCAATAACTATGAAGTTTCTTCACCGAAACATTCCCAGGTCCACAAGTTAATTTTCTAACAAGTGGCTGCCTGGCCACCACAGACCTACGTGCCATAACGAGCAGAGATGGGTGTGGGCTCCCCGCAGTGTAAACCGTGAGAAAGTCCCCTGGCTTATTAGACACATTTGAAAGCATCGCATTCTTGCTGGCAGCCTAATTCTACAGCAATACGTAGTCATTGTATTTGTCCCCAGAAGTGGATTTTAAATTACCATAAGCAGCCTCTCCATCCAGGAGATTGCACTGAGAAAAAAAGGGAAAGTGTCTATTTAAGGCACAATTGGGCTTGGGTCTTTTTTTTTTTTACTTGTTCTTGTGCTTAGAGAGTGGAGAAAAGGTGCTGAGCTTTCACTCTTGATTAAAAAACGTCTTTTTTTCTCTCTTTCTCTCTTAGGTCGAAATAATACATATGGCTTCATAATGTCAGCTCCTGGACCTTACAAAAAAAAACTTGTTTCGCAGTGGCCTCCTGCATTTTATGAAGAGCAAGAAGCAACTGAGTTTAAGTATACATACATTTTGACAAAACAAACACCAAGCCTCACATACCAAACACCAAGCCTCACATACATTGGGGCACGCGTGCGCGCGCACACACACACACACACACACACACACACACCAGTTCCACTGGGCCTCCTCTTCCTAACTGAAACAAATGTGCAGGACACGCCCAGCTCGGATTTCCTTGAAACAGACAAATGTGCAGGACACGCCCAGCTCGGATTTCCTGAAAGCAGGCTTCTTTCCCCCAGGCCTTTGCAAAGTTCAAAAGGAGACGTGTTGGTGCCCTCTGCTGGCCGTCACTAACTCCTCGGCCGCTCAGCCCGTGGGCCTCTGGGAGCTGTCAAGTCATCCAGGGCAAAGTATCTTGAGAGTCCTGTCTTCTGCACTCCAGACATCTTGATAGCACCACGGCTCCGTAGGCAACAGAATTGCAAACACCAACAAACAAAACGTGCCATGATGATCTGGTAACCAAAGTCTGAAATGGCAGGTTGTTTGCCCTAAAGGCTGTCCCGTACATACTTGCCTTAACCCACCTAAGTTGTGCGCCCGAGAATCTCAGTGCAGACATCCCCAAGTCACTTCCTTTAGGCTAACACACTGCTATTAATTCCGAATGAGTTCGAGTCTGTATGTTTTATGTCAAGAAACCAGACTGAAGAGCCCAGCAGCTCCAGTGTGTCCGTGTACGAAAACTGCCAGCTGTCAGCAAAGTGCTTTACCATTGAGCCTCCACAGTGGCCAAAAAGAGACAAGTACCAATAACAACAACAGTCATCATCATCACCTTTATAATTCTTAAATATGGGCTTCTGATGGGGTTGGGCGGGGGCAAAGTAAAACTTAATAATCTACTAACATCATTTATCTACTGGAAGCAGAATGGCATAACTCACTGACTTTATTTATCGCTACCTAGGTGCTTTTATAAGTATCTACAAATGTCTTTTACTAACACAGAAACAGCTGTGGATTTCTATCAACAGAGGCCAACTGAATATGTATTAGCGATGTTTACTCTTTTATATCTAATTCAAATTGAAGACCCTATGTAGGTGAACTTTTTTTCCTAACTTCCAGCGTATGAGATTATTTTTGGGGTGGGAGGGGGGAGCAATAGTTATCTTGGTGACATATTTGAGATCTCTTTGTGGTGATTGGGGGATCCGTTGTGTGGTAGAGTGTATTTGAATCCTCCTGTATTATTGTGGCAGAAAAACTGTGCTGTTAACGTAGTTGGCAACAAGATGCCTTTGGAAACTTAATAGTAGGTCACTGTGTTTATGAAATATTCTGAATTTCTAGGAAATTTTGTTCTATATATTCAAGCATTATTTGGTTTTCATTAGTGGAAAACATAATTAGCTCAGGCTTGTCAGGAACTCAGATGAGTCACATTGTTTTCTTGGATCCACCTGAGACATTAAAAACAAATTTTTTTAAACAAATATACCATCCTTAAGTGCAGCGAAATTCAGACCTGAAATGTTATGCATTGGCATGAAGCAACTTTTTCTCTTGGTTTCTATGAAGTTTCAGTTATTGGGTTAACCTACTTTGGACCTTATCCCATCCGGAACTACATAAACCATTCCCATGACTGTGTTGCATGGATATCAATGATACACACGCATATCCACTTGAAAACTTGATCAAGGAACAAAGGTTGCTATTGAAGCGTAAACTAGAAAAAAAAGGGTTCCAGCATTTGTGCTTGAATTTTCTCAGTGGCTTGTATATGTTTGTCCATACATACATGTAATAAAACACAGGATTGCAAACATGTCAGTGAAACCTCACCTAACCGTTTTATAGTGGCATGCATGTTTCATATATGAGAAAAATATTTACCAATGTACTGTCCTTTGATTCTCAAAATATAAATACTCTACATGCCAGAAACTACCCTAATGTAACTATTAATGTGACGATTAAAATGAGGTTTCACTGTACATTCATGCTGTGATCAGATTCCTCCTTCCAGGACATGTATGTGGATAAGAACTGAAATGCACAAAGAAGCCCTCATCTTCCTGCTTTAAGTTGCAGCCAACTTCCCACCTAACCACTACTATCATCGCTACCAAAATTTTTCAAAACCAGTTGTTGACTACTAAAAGGAATCAGTGGACAGGTCGTTGCTGGGAGCAGTGAGCACAGTCGTGTGATTACATCTGGAAAAGCAAGTTGTACAGCTGTATCCTCCTCAAGACCCGGTGAAGAATGCTATTTTTCTAGGCTGAGCTTTTGTTATAAACCTAATATTCAGAAGGCAAGAGTTACAAACCTGATGTGTCTTTTTCTTCCTTTCCTTTTTTGCGTTTATTAATTCTGAATGTATTTTTAACAGAGTGATTTTTTTGACTTACCAGTGTAATTTGCATTTTAAAAATAAATGGAAAAACAATCGCGTTTCCGAGCCATCCCTGAAAGCCGTGCTGCTTCTCCCGGTGCCGTGATTATGTCATTGACAGGAAAACCCCAGGAAACTCACATGAAGGCGGGTGCTGACGCCCGTCGCATGCCGTGCAGGGATGTGTCAAAAGGAAAGAGAAAATGCCAGGTCACGGCACCATTTTAGCCCAGTCATAGAGGTAACACGTACTTGCATTATCTCCTGTCACTAAGGGTTTTTTCCACCAGACCGCCTGGAATAGGCTTGCTGTCATTTGCGGAGCTTGTTTCCCCACTTCTGTCTGGAATTTAGAGTTAGCATCAAGCTATTATCTGACAAAAGTGTGAGGCCACTATATTAAAAACCCTTGTTTAACATAGGTAGAGGTTTTTTATTTTTTTTTATACTCAATTTGAAATAACTTAAAAAGCTCATTTATTACCCATTTGATGGCATGGTCTTTGATGGCAACCATAGGGAAGCATGGTGGGGTAGGGTAAGCAGTTAGAAAAGATTAACCCCTGGCATTGGCCATTGCCCAACCGTAACGTCAGCTGAGGTTCGCTGTATGCACTGCAGGGACAGAAGGCGGCAGGCTGGGCTGCTCGTGGGTGTGTCTTTTCTCTCTCTGTACACAGACACAACCCAGCCCCAGAAGCCAAAGAACCAAAACGGATCGCAAACAAGGAAAGCTTTGAGGTAGCATTCCAAGAAGCCAAAGATCAACTCGCAGTACCTGACTTCTCGGACACATGGTGAGAGCCTTGCAAAGAACAAGTCTGTGTTGACTTTTGCTCCCAGTGTGAAAGCATGCTGATGCAGGTTCATTGAAGTAGACGGGATGACTGTCAGGTGGTTGCCACAGCACTGTGAGGTCAATGCCCAGGACATCTCAGTTGAAGGTAAAGAGACCAAAAGTTAATAGAAAAGAGTTATCAATTCAATAGTGCAAGACTCTTACCAGCTATGTTCTGAATTCAAAGAAGAAGAAGAAAAAAAACACCACTAAATAGTGCATGCCTTCAGTAAATAACACTACCAAGGTCTTCATTTGTACTATAACAAGTTGACCATTTAACTCAGAAATACAAATTCATTTTAAATGGGTCACATTGTAAAATACATTTTTGAGAGCCAACCCATATATCATAAAGATAATAAAGTAAGGCCCGTGGAGGTTAAGAAATTACTCAAGATTACCACACATCTTGAAAACGCAAATAACTCGCTATTCCACAGCAAAACCCAGAATATGTATACGCTGGTCAGAATAGAATAAAACAAATCCCAGATGTTATCAGCTGACCCTGGACTGTGTAAGTCAGAATGAAACCTGATAAAGAAGACCGTAAGATAGTATAAAATCATCAAATACTTCTAAATTATTGTGTGCTAGATTCAGCATAGTCTCAATGTTAAATATGTTTTATTGTGTTAAAGTTCTTTTAAATATATATATATATACACACACATACATATATATATATACACACTTATATATATTTGGGGGCGTTTGGTTTTTTAAAGTATATTTTATTGATTTTTTACAGAGAGGAAGGAAGAGGGATAGAGAGTTAGAAACATCAATGGGAGAGAAACATCGATCAGCTGCCTCCTGCACACTCCCTACTGGGGATGTGCCTGCAACCAAGGTACATGCCCTTGACCAGAATCGAACCTGGGACCTTTCAGTCCGCAGGCCGACACTCTATCCACTGAGCCAAACCAGCTAGGGCTATATGTGTGTGTTTTATATTAAGCAACTAATTATGTTCAGTTTCATGGTTAAAATTTTTGTTATTTCTTTTACAACAGATTTATGAATAGCTAATATTAGAGACATTGAGGTTACTTAAACTGTCCCATCTTGAGTACTTCCTGTGATTGTCAAGATAATCTTCCTTCAGACATTTTATCTGTCTTTGGTAAAATTTTGGCACTCAACACTTATACTCAGGAAGCTTTAATATCAAGATCTTTACATCATAAAAAAAAAAGAAGAATCCCCAATTATTCTTATCATATATGGGTCTTAGCTTAGGACTCATTTTCAATCCTATCTTCATTGTACAACACCTACCTTCCACCTGCCTTCAAGAAAGGAAAGGACACTGTCCGTGATTGATATATTATGTCCAATTTTAAACTTATTAGTATCTTGAAACCATCACTTTGAGAGCAAAATCTCTAAGACATTTATATACTCTATGCCTTTTAACTCAACAAAAATTTGAACTAGGTAATACATCCAAGGGTCCCGTTTACCACTGGAATCTGCACAGGTGTCACGAGATACGACTGCAGTGCCAACAAAGAAAGCAAAGGTGAGTTCCTCCTAAAGTGTCTTCTTCTGTTCTCTAGAGTTATCAAGAAAGTTGTGGGTTTTTTTAATCCTTAAACATTATGGAGTTAAGAAGCAAATAAGCTTAACATTTTGATGGTAATGAAAGTCGACTTCTGTAAGATAAATTCAGAGAGGGAAATCCTTTTATAAGCCACATGTGGATGCCCTGACACAGACTAAATTGTTATTAAAATTAATGTGAGCCTTCTCTGTAATGAGAGCACAGAATTGTGGCACCTTAATAATAAAACAGGTATATTTTTTTAACCTCTCATTCTACCCTCTTATGAATTTAAGCCGTAACAGCAATGGAATAAAACAACTCCCAAAAAGATTGCAAATTGATGCTGTCATCCCAAGGATGATGGATTGATTCAATTAATCAGTTAAGTCTTTTCTAAGAGCCCTTCGGGGAGTTATTTACCAGAGGCATACCC